ATTTTAATAGATTTGAACTTAAAAGCCTAGGAAGCATGCAATCCATTCAATTACAATTACTACCTGACTGCAGCTTACCAATCTGATCCTAGCAGCCACCCATTAGTAGCACACAGGATCCTGGCTCATAAATAGAGAATGCATGCTTATTAGCTAATTTCTGAGACAATATTTCCCTCAGCTCTTGGGAGGACTCCATGGTAGGAGGACACTCAAAACCAAACCTAGACTAAACCAGACCTAGACTATGACATTTCTTAAGGAAGTGGGGTTTACTGTTGACCCGCTATGTGACCCAGGGAAGTCCCTTCACCTCTGTGAGCCCTCGGTTTCTTCACAGAAGTGAGGTTTAGCTAGCTGTATTTGTGGCTCAAGCTTGCTGTGGGTGCTTATGGAGACAGTCTATACAAAATGTCAGGCACACTTCTTTGCATGCTATAGGCACACACTAACAAGACTGTTACTGTAACTCAGAAGAAAACTCCCTGTGTCCGGCAAAAACACGGGGGTTCTCTTGTTCCCCCCAGAATGCCTATCACATAGGTACTTGATGTTCCCAATCAACACCATCTTCTTCTCTGTCGTGGTCCTGGAACAACAGGAATATAAAAGTAGGCCTCCCCTTGGGACCTGATGACAAGTGTGCTACAGAGCAATTCAGACCCAGAAACCCATAGGACAAGGCTGAGCAACTCAGGCAATGCTTCTGCACACATCCCAGGAGCCCACGCCCAAGGATTCCCTCCACGCCTGTCCCCACTTAGCACCCCAGCTAGAACGTGTGATGGTTTTACGCTACTGCGTAAATTAAAACCAGGTGCGGTAGTGCTGTGCTTTAGACTGGACGGCTGATCTTTATTATTGCTTAAAGAAATGCCAAGGAAAGATTTAAAGGAAGCCAACCAAAACAGTGAGGCAAGCCAGGGGCCGACTGATTAGAGGAACCAGGGGCCGTAAGATTTCTAGGCATGGGAGCTGGTAAGGTGGCTTAGTGAGTAAAAGCTCTACAAGAATAAGGTCCTGAGTTCCGATCCCACCACCCATGTAAAACACTGTGGCAGGATGGGCACCTATAGCCAGCACTGGATGGGGTTGCAGATGGGAGGATTGCTGGGCCATGCTGGCTGCCAGCCTAGTTCCAGGCTTGGTGAGAGACAAACCCTGCCAGGAAGGGATGAAATGGGGTATCTGATATCCCTCTCTGGTTTTCACATGTGTATGCATGCGTGCAGCCGTGCGCATATATAACATATACATATACACCCGAGAGAGAGATCCAGGCAGGAGACATTAAAAAAGACTGGATGGTCAGTGCCTTCAGGTTGGTGTGAGGAGAAGCAGCCGTTCTCACAAATCGGCATATGAATCCCCTGAGAGCTGCAGGGACATGGGGCTCCAGGCAGCCCTGTGATTCTAATGGAGGAAGTCTGACGTGAGACCCAGGAGCTGCATTTCCCTGAGTGTCTAGGTTACCTCTGCACAGGTGGTCCAGATCCATGAACACCAACAGACTCCCCCACAAAGCCCATTCCTCTTGCTTTGTCTTAAGGCAATGAACACCTCTTCTGAGACAAATGACAGGAAGCAAAGACACGGAACTTCAAGCCTTCACCTCAGTAAAACTTCAAGATTAATTAATAGAGATTGGTTACTTGCTAGAAAATGAAGTATTCACATGCACACCATAGATTGGGTAGAAAACAAAATTACATTGAGATGATTTAGTATTTCTGAGATGAAATAAATCCAATGGCTGAGTGAAAGGCAAGAAGTAAACCTCTATCACCTGAAGTTATCCACTAAGATAATATTTCAGCTGCCATTGTGAAAAGGAAACCGACAACATCAAAAGGCGCTGACTACATCCAAGAACACTTACTAGGAAGGGTTAAGCACAACTGCATCTGGAAAAAAAATAGCTATTACCAGCCCACACAAATCCAGAGAGAGGTGTTTGGGGTCCAAGGTGACCTAATATTTTCATAAATAACTCCAAAGATGGAGTGGGAATTATGCAAATCAAACCACAGATGATACAAAAATGGCAGGGATTGCAAGTCTGTGGAGAATGGAATTTAACTACTGGGCAATGTCTTTAAATTTGCCTTTATTGAATCTTGTATATTGAAGTCACACATTATTGTATCTGTTTATTGAGATTCAATGGGGCCAAATGCAGAGTGATTTATGGAAAGGAAGCTAATCAAATGCCTCAGGAGAAAGAGTCTACACCTGGAGAGACCCTGGCAGCAGACAGAGAGGAACTGACTGGGAAGGGTCAGTTGTACACAAAGCAGGTGGGTGGTTTCTGAAAATGGGGGTATTCCAAGAGCTGGTGTAGAAATCAAACAACAAAATGTCTGTTCTCTGAGCTACTTGGCCTTGACGCTACTTCTGGTAGAAGTGTTTAAATGTAGACCCAGAAGAGAATTCAGAGCAGGACAGCGCCAAGATTATGCCATAAAATGACCCTAGTCTAACCAAGAATTCAGAGGATGCTAGAGCAAGATGCTGAGTGTGCCTATTTGTTAGGGAAGGAGACACAAAAGACAAAGGGATATGGAGGAGAGAGCTGTTCCAGCTCCCATTAAGGAAAAACAATCATGGGCAGCACAGCTGAATGGTGGAGAAAGGGCATCCCTGTATCCCTCCGGATGCTGAAGGAGGGTGACAGGACACCTCTCTAGTTAGGATGCATTAGAGATCATTAAAAGCATTCCTTGTCCAGCTCAGGGGTGGGGGGTGGGCTTCATGACCTCTCCAAAGGTCACTTCTACCCCTAGAGATCACCTGTCTGAAGGGCACCAGATAAAAATAAAGTCTATTAATCACCAAGCTGTCACACAATTGTCACACAATGTCCTGAGAGAGCCAGGATGAAGAAGGGCAAACTGCAACAATGGACCTTGCTTCACAGAGGGAGGAAGAGGGAGGCAGTACTTTTGTGGGCAGAGCCCAGGAAGCCACTGCTGAGACTTCCTGAAAGCTGGTGCCATCCTGTGATGAGTCCTCCCAAGTCCTTCTTCAGGGGAAACTGGGAGGAAGTGACCCTATGGGAAGGGGAGCAGAAAGCAGCCAAGGACACCAAAAGCTCCTAAGCAAAGCTGGGATGTTTGGAGGAGAGGGTCTGCTGGAGTCACAGAGCAGGGGGTTGGAGGACAGGGGCTGATACAAGGGCTCTGTGCAGAAGAAGAGAGCCAGGAGACAGGCAAGAGGACACTCAGAAAGGATGCTTCATAGAGATACTCCACTGGGACACAGATGTCAGGGAAAGGGAAGGGAAGAAAAGAATGGGGGAAGAGACCAAAGCAAGAAAAAACAACATCAAGAATGTATCTGGAAATATACGAGACTATATGCCACGAAAATTCTAGAAATAGGGCCAGTGGAATGGCTTAGCAGGTAAGTGCATTTGCCACCACCAAGTCTGATGACCTGAATTTTCAATCCCTGGAACCCACCGGTGGAAAGAGAGAACCAACTCCTACAAGTTGTCCTCTGACCTCCACCCAAGCCATTGCACGAATGTGCCCCACCCACAGAAGCGCACACAATCACACAATCAGTCCTGTAAGAAGAACTCTTTTGAAGTTACAGAAATAGAAGTGAAAAGTTAATCCTGCTATCTATAACAGCAGAAAGTCACATAATGGGAAACCGCTTCTTGAAAGAGAAATGGAGTAGCTATGTCTCAGCTTCAAAGCAGCTGTTGTCACTCCTAATGGGCTGCCATACACAGCTGGAAATCCCTCACACTGTCCAGTCTCCCAAGGACCAGCATGCTTGGATTGGCCACGTGTCAGGACACAACTAGATGACATCCGGGAAGTACAGCCTGGACCAAAGCAGGTGCCTTATGCCAAAAGAAACCAGCCCCCATGCCCTGCTCCCTTCTCTTCCTGGAACAGTTGCTTGAGTATGGTGGCATGACCTGCAGAAGTCTCAGGAATGTCATCTGCAAGGTGTATTAGGCAGCCAAACAAACTCCATGACTTTCAAGTTGTGGCAAAACATTGTCCCACCAGATGTCATCCCCACAGGGCCCAGAACGTTTTGAAATCAAGAGGCCAGTGAAAGGACAGAGGAGAGCTACCACCCCACTATGCCCCTTATGTCCTGTCCCCTGGTTTTCTTTGCCTCCACAGAGCTGCAGGACCTGACAAGACGGAGAGACACCCAGAGGCACCACTGTGACAGGACCCCTTGTCTAGCCTCCTGCTGTTCTCAGAGCAGCCTGGTCCCAGTGGTCGAGCTCTGGGTTTTGAGATCAGACAGGAGGGGAATAGAAGACCCTAGCCATGTGGCACTCATGGCCAGCCTTGCCGTGGAGCGAGCAGGAAGTGCCCAATAGTGAAAGACAACAGGGCAAGGCTGTGGACCTAAACATACCACACACTGGCGTGTGAGATTACACAAAGCCACTATCCTCCTGGTGTCTACAGTCCCTCCTTGCGCCCCTCCCTTGGCCTCTACCCTACTGCTAACCTCAGACACTAACACAGGAGCCAGGCCACCATGCTTCCAGTGATGTTTCTGAACCAGGAAAGGAATAGTGGAGATGAATCAGGGTCATTTACTAAAGATTCACGAGGGTCATAGAAAGATTCACAACCAGTCCTGCCTAGGACAAAGAGAGGGGGAGAGAGAAATGAAATTCGAGGAAAACAAATGGAAGGCAACAGAAACCAAGCACTTTTGTGGGAGAGGCCGGGGTGACACTTTTGCTTGTGATTCTGACCTGGAGAAAGATGTGGAGGGTGTATCTTGAAAGAAACAGAGAACGTGAGAGGATGTGGGAGAAAAGCCAGGAAGGAGACCCGGCATCCTGGAGGGCAGTCTGAGGGGTAGAGTCACCTGCCAGACTATCCCGTGTCCCGGAGCCCCACCACAGCAGTAACAACGGGTGGCAGTATGACCACACGGGGATGCAAGCAGGAAATGTAGGCGGCTGCCGAGGCAGCATGGGCAGACTGGGCTGGCACGGCACGCGCGCTACTTACTGTCACACACGTAGGGTTTGTCATGGTCTTCCTGAGAAGCAGCATCATGTCTCCTCCTGCCGCCTGCAGAGCCACGAGCCTGAGGAGACATTGAGTATGAGACACTTGTTATTACGACACCCACTCAGCTCATGGGCATACGCTCTTTAGGGCCTGAACGAATCACCTGTATCACAGCCTCTGTTCCCATGCCAACCCTACTTTACAAGCAAGAAAATGGAGACTCGGGGGATTAGGTAACTGTCCCAAATCACTCAGCTACTCGCCTGGCTCACCCCATTGTTTTCATAGTAACTCCAAGAAGGAGGTATAATAGTGGTCCCTTGTGTAGGTGAGGGACTGAGGCAGCAAAGAGGTGAAGTGACTTTCCCAGTGTCATTCGTCTGCCTGATGCAGGGCCAGAATAGAAGCAGGAAGTTTGACTGAAAGGCTATGTCACAGCCCGAATATGAAAATCTCTAGCTAAGTGGCATTATTCTGGGGGTGGTGGAAACTTTAGGGGGTGGAGCCAACCTGGAATATGTAGGGAAAGCATGGGGTGACGTCTTTAAAGGTTATACTTGTCCTGGGCACCCTTGTTTCCAGGTTACAGGGAAGCAAACCACTTTGTGCAGCCACCGTAGGGCTCTGACTCCCCACAGACCCATAGCAATGGAGAAAGCCAACCGTGGCTGCCCCCTCTGAAGCCATGACCCAAAACAAAACCCCATCCCTATAAGAGGCTCGCTCAAGTACTCTCCCACAGCAAGAGAAGTCTAACCAAGGCAGTCCTGTACCCATGGCATATGGGGCCTCTGTCTCTCTACTCACTGACAGCAGAAGATGCCACGCTGTTCTGTGTGCTGGTCACCTGATGAGCGCACTGGGGAGGGGGGCAGGGAGTAAAACCACAGTGTCACCCCAGGTTCCTGTGCCCACACTTCCCGCCAAAGGCCTTGGGAGCCCAGTCTCCCCCTTCATGTTTGACCTTCACAGTAGGGCTGGGCTTCAGGCAGGGCTCCTGTATGTGGTCTACCTCAGGCCTCCAGCCTGGGACCAAGACCTCAACCATCCAGGTCAAATGCAGCTGGATTCCTGATACCTACCAGAGCCCTGTGTGTCGCCCTGGGTGGGTCATGTGGGGGGAGGGCTGTCAGAAGGAGCTAGACTTCCTAGTAACAGAGACTAGTCTGAAAGGCAGCTCTGCATCCCAAAACAGCGGCTACCAGAGAGCAGCAAGGCTTATTTACAATCTGCTGTAAGCCCTGCGCCGGCCTCCTCCAGGCCATCCATTGCTAATGAGTAGCTGTAGACTCCCAGCCATAGAAGGGGCTGGCTGCAGGTCAGCAGGGACAGAGAGGAAAGGTCAGCAGAAAGGAGCGTGACAGGACAGAAGACTGCGGTGCAAGCCCAGGGACCTGCTCTAGAGAAGCGAGCCCAAGGATTCATGGTGCAAGGGCCTGGATGGATTCTCCCACACACACACTCATAAATCTAAGAGTGCATATCTCACTGGGGATGTCACTGTAGACAGGCCTGTGGGACTCAATCCCAAAATACACACACTTCACAACTAACTCCACCTGCCAAACTATCACTTTTGGATGCCCTCAGCTTGTCATTTTCTAGGGGGGGGAGGGGATTCTCAACTCCCTCCTTGTCGCTACCTTCCTGCCCCCACCCCTGCTATGGATAATCAATAGAAGTTACTTTCCTCCTTCCCCTCCTCCTCTCCCTCCTCTTCACCCTTCTCTTGCTCTTCCTCCTCTCCTTCCTCCCCACGCCCTCCTTACTCAGAACTAACCCAGGAGAGGCTGTGAGCATGTCCATCACTCTTGAGGCACTGACAGACACTATGTCTGGGATGCTGAGGGTGATAGTCACCTTAAGGCCCTGGCCCTCCCCACGCCTTCTCATGAAGCCAGGGACAGCTTGGATGCACAGCCAGCAGCCCTGTCACAGCCCCTTGGAGCAGGTAAATGTAAGTCAGGCAGAATGATGAGGCCACAGCAAATGCTGCAAGACAGACTACATATCAGGGCAGGAGATGAGGGGCAGGAGATGAGGGACAGGAGATGAGGGACAGGAGATGAGGGACAGGTAAACGGAAGCAGCTGGGCCTCTGAGGGAGCTAGCTGAGGGAAAGAACAGCACTGCTGGGAGCCAGGCTCCCTTCCCTTGCCACTGGGCTGACCAGCAGGGAGGCTGCATGCTCCTACACTCCCCAGGCACTGGTCTTGCCAAACAGAGACAAAGGCTACAGGACATCTGAGGGACTGCATTTGGGATTCTCCTAAGACAATGGAATTCTTGATCTCCTGGAAGACTCAAGCTTGACAACTCAGAAGCCTGTGTGTCCCGCTCAAATGCCACTTCCTCCAAGAAGCCCTCCCTAGCTCACTGATGTCCACTCGTATTCTTCCATCGTCTTCCTTCGCCTCCGCTGTTTGCTTGGTCACAGTACTGTTGTCACCTGGCATTATATTGTACATGCGTTCGTTCCTTTGATTTTCTATCTGTCTCTCAATAGGTAGCATCCTGTCTGGACCACCACTATTCTTGGAACCAAGCACATTCCTTAAACAGGTGCCAGATCATTGTGTCAACCCATCAGGCAGCGAGTTGACCGCTGTTCTTCTTTATCTGTATCCCAATGCTATTGTTTCTTCCCTCAAAGGCCATTATGTGATCCTGAGCGCCCCAGGAAAGCTCCCAGCTGGGGCTCTCCTCCCCACTGCCCAGCCTAACCCATCCTGCAGGACCACCTGGCCAAAGGGGGTCATTCATTCATTCACACTCCTCTATTGCCAGCTATGACACACTTACATAGCCAATGGCAGCCTGCCGCCAACCCGCCAGCCTCACCCCAGGCTCGTGCTGTGTCTACACCTTTGTCTCATGGTTCCTTTTATGGTCGCCTCTCCCATGCCAGCCACAGACACCCTACACTCCAGCCCTGCCAGCATCCCACTCCTCCAAAATCCTCCTCTTCCCGCAGAGTAAAACATCATTGTGTTAAAGTCAGATGGGCCTGAAACAAGAAGCCAGAGGCTGGTACTTTCATAAGGAAAAGAGGTTTATTTTGGTTCATGGATCTGGAGGTGCAACATGTAGAGAACTCAACTGGTGATGTCCTTCTTGCTACCAAAATCCATCGCAACACAGAGCACCACATGGCAAGAAACAGGGGGCCCCATGTATGTGTCTTTCAGTCATTCTCCTCTTCTTATTGACCCTCAGGACCCAATCAGGAAGCTCTCCCCTCTCCTCACCTAATAATCCTGGTCACTTTCCAAAGGCTCCTTCTAAATACTACAGTCATCCAACTGCTGACTTCTCAGCATCTCACAATGGGCTTTAAATGTCAGCACATGAAGTCTCGGGAACACTCCAGCCACATCCAGACAGCAGAATAGCACCAGCTGTGTGTCATAGAACAAGCTACCCCTCTAAGCCTTAACTTACTTATAAAATGGGCCACAGCAGGTCACATGTGGGGGTACACATGTTACCCCAGAACTCAGGAGACAGAGGCAGAAGGAATACTGCAAACTTAAACCAACCTGGTCTACCAGAAAGTTCCAGACCATCCAAGGCTACTTAAAAAGACTGTCTCAATCAATACATACATAAGTAAAACGGGCACAGAAACACCTCCGTGGCACAGTTATAGAGATGGTTAGGAGTGTCAAGCCACAGGACACGGCACCAAGCCCACAGGAAATGCTCAGTAAGTTATTGACCCCTCCATGACCTTGTGGATCCTCCAGGCTCTCATGTTTGGCTAGAACATGATGAGAAGCCACCAGTCCTCTTAATGTATTGAGCATTAGCAGCTCCCTAGCTTGAGTCTTACCTCCTTGGGGAAAGGTGGCATTTTATACTTTATCGTGATCCCCTAACAATCTGCTGGGTACACAACACAAAGCTCTTCCACACATGTGAACTCGGGTGATTCTGCCATGACCCTGTGAGTTGAACCAATAATGTCGCTATCCCTGTCTTGTCAGTTGGTACCGGTTTTGAGCAGGTCCATGACTTGCCCACAGTCCCAAAGCCAGTGGCAACAGCAGGACAGGCTTCCAGACTCTGATAAAGAACCCTTTGGACCTTACCCTCCAAAAGTAACCCGACAGATGCTCACCTCCCATTCACACGTTGGGGGCCATGGCAGCCATGACTGTACCACAGGGTCCTGCCTTACTGACCGTAAGTGGGTAGGCTCAGAAGGAGTCAACTAACTACTACATCAAGCCTATTTTTACTCCGACCTGGGCCACTAGAGTCTATCTTCAAGGGACTTAGAGCTTGAAAGCAATGACCTCTGCTGAATTGAACAAGCCCACAAATTTAGGAGCCCTAGAGCCCTGTGCACAGAGGAGCTAGATGAAACCCTGGTACCAGAGAGAAGAGAGAAGAAGAAGAAGCCATGGATGGGGTCTTTATTCTCCTCAGTCCTGATCCCTGCCACCTCCTTGACCTTCTTGTGATCTGGGTCTTCTAAGATCACTCACACTTGGGACAATGGTCCCAAGGCTTCAAATCCTTCTCATTTAGGCTTAAAGCCATTGAGTTTCCTATAACAAAGAGACCTGGAGTTAAGACAGACTCCAGGCAATGGTAGTTCTACAAAAACTGCTCTCAAATGGTGTCTGGGGGTGAGTATCACCCCTCTTCTCCTATAGGCTGGAGATAATTAAGAGCACTTGCTGCTCTTCCAGATAACCTGGGTTCAGTTCCCAGCACCCACAGCTGACTTTACAACCAGGAGATCTGACAGCCTCCTCTAACCTCTAGCGACACCTGCATTCATACGCATAATTAAAAATAAATATTTTTGACAAAAGCTATTCTCCTGGTGCCACTAAAAGACCATTTGCCTTTCTCATTCCTATTTTTTCACAAGCGTACAGTGGGGCTTTCCAGAGGCTACATGACATTTGACAGGGTTTTCGGTATGCACTTGTATATTCATGAGCTACATTCATAAGCTGGATTTTGTCTTAATTTTGAATAGAGCAAACATTAGTGAGATTAATATCACCTGTTATACTCAGAACAATAACTTTGAGGGGCTGTCAGTACTTGTTAAGAGTGTAAAGAATTCCTGAGGCAGACAGAGAAGGGGAGGGCATTGCTCTGCTACCTTGCCATTGAATGAAAGGTCTTAAGACCATTGACACCCAGGAGCTTATCATCAAGGCAAGAACTTGGCCCCCATACCCCAGAACTTTCACATCAGAATTTGCTCTTTAACAGCATCCCTAGTGTTAGGGGATATTCGATCACACTCAAGTTTGCATTTGCATTAATTAAATAAATTTAACCTTGGGTCAGGAAGCTGTGTCAGAAACTAGTTGACAGAAAGTAATCATAGAGCTCAGAGAGTGTCCAGGAGAGATAGAGACACACAGGAAGTAATAGGATGAGGTTTAGAATAACGCAGATTTTTCTTGTTTGTTGAAGCAGAAGCATGGGTCTTCCGTGGATGCCAGGAGAGAGGGTTAGCTAGTTGCTACTCAGCCTCTCTGAGCTTGGAAATTTTCACCCTAGCCTTTGAATCTCCAGTCTTATTCATAATTAGAACAATAGAGATTTAGTTAAAGCTACCTTTAACTGTAGCAACAGGGCCAGGGCCTGCAGGAGCAGAATTCTAGACCGGCAGTAGCCTGACCAGGCCACTGCTTAGAGAAGCAGGCCAGTAGCTGTGGAGTTGCAATTGCTGGCTGAGATAGCAGTAGATTAATGCACAGCTACTGTGCCAAAGATAAAACAACACCCTGGGGTCTTCATGTTTGAAAAACACTGGGCTGCACCACAAATGTGCCAACAATTACTAATTTAATTGATTGGTTGATAATACAAGGATTAGTCATAAGAGTTTCATTAATTTTTTAGGTAAAAATTACCATAGACACAATTCTTAATTGTTGGGTATGAACTGCCCTCACCACTCAGAGAACATATAGGGTTAAAACTCAGAAACTTAGCCACTTTGCTTGCAATATACTTCTATATCTGTTCCTTTACTGGGCACTCAGATTTAGCTGTGTGTTATTATTCCCAATTATTGATGGATACATTGAGACTCAGTTTCAGAAATTAAATGATTCACCCAAGGTGCAGTAGGTGATAGAACTAAGGTTGGCACTCCTGGGGTGGAAGTTAAAATAAGGGAAACCCATCCAAGACTCACTACGGAAGCCCTGGCCCCCTTCTGTGTAGGGAGTGGCTAGGGTCTTGTCAATGGTCTGTGGGATGGAGATTGGGCTCCTCTGCATTCCCACAAGCTCCCAGGTGAGGATGAGGCTGCAATCCAGACCACACAGACAGATGTCAGGCCCCAGTGTGGTTGCTCCAGTGGCCAGCAAGTCCCAGCAGCAGCTGCAAACCCACGTAAAAGCTTAGCGCTGTGGGTAGGGCAGCTTCCGGTACTTTTCCAGCCCAGAGACTAACTCATTCACCCCCCACTTCCTCCATGGCATGGTGACTCGTCCAGTGTCACTCACTGTACAACCGGGAGCCATTAGCTGTCACTCAATCACGAAGTTCAAACATGACTTTCCTTTTTGCTTTCCTTATTCATCCTAGACAGGTAGGGTCCTGGGCTAGGCAGGACTCAGTAGGAAAAGCCTAGACTTGTGTCCCAATCCCTCATTCTTTCTGACCAGATTGAGCAACCTTGAGCAAGCTGCTGAACCTTTCTAGAAACCAAGTCACACTTGTGCTGCCATGTTTTCCAATAACTGCTTTTTTTTTTAAGAGATGAGATAAACTAGCTTGAGTGTATCTCAGTGGTTAGCAACTAGTTACATTTAAACCTGGGTTCAGCCCCCAGCACCCCAAAACAACAAAAAATAAAATGATAGATGCACTTTAATGACATTTTAACCAAGCATAACAAAACATGTTATTGTTGAAACTTACAGAAATTAACAATGAGGTGGTCTGCGTTTTTGTTTTTGCTTTTTGTTGTTTGTGGGGGTTTTTTTTTGGTCATTCTAAGCCATCAGAATGTGGTGCATATTTTACATCTGCAGCATCCTCCAATCTGGACTAGCATGTGCTAGGTAGCCACGCGCAGCCAGCGGCTGCTGCAATGGACCGTTCGAAATGGAGACTGCAGAACACAAAGCCCCAGCACAGCCCCGTGGTTACCTAGAGTGTTCTCACTCCGGGGCCCTTCAATCTGCCTGGGTCTGAGTGACTATAAGGGCCCCTGGGTACTGTCACTCCCTGATGGGGGGGGTGTCCTTCTGCATGCTGTGCATGTGTGTTTCACTTATTGGTTGATAGATAAAGCTGTTTCAGTCAATGGACAGGCAGAATGTAGCCAGGCAGGAAGTGTCGACGGGGCTAGCAGACTAGGGGAATGCTAGGAAGAGGAACGCAGAGAGTGAGTTGCGGGGGAGATGCCATGAAACTGCAGAGAAAGCAGGAGGCCTGGGCATCACCAGTAAGTCAAGACCATGTGGAGATACACAGACTAATAGAAATGGGTTACTAATGAGAGGGCTAGCCAATAAGAAACTTGTGCTATAGGCCAGACAGTTTATAATTAATATTAGCCTCTGTGAGTTTGTTTGGGATCAGATGGCTGCGGGACCTGGCGGAACAGAAACTTCCGTCAACAACTCCCCACACCCTCACGGAAAAGACGCCCAACCCCTTCTCACTAATGGCAATTTCTATCTTCTGCATTCATGCCAAGAGTACCAGGAACATTTTCCACAAAGCGCTCTTCAAAGTCTGCCTGTGGCAGGGGAGGAGCGGAAGCAGGTTGGTAGGTACCCAGCTCTCGGCATTCCCAACAGGCACAGAAACGCCGTGCCCCTATGCCTCCTCCAAACGCCGTGATGGAATGGATGTTTCTTTTATTACTGCTGCTCAGACACCACAGTGAAATAATATGGCCAAGTGAGTTCATCCACAGCTGTAGAGAACCATTAGGTGAAACCCTGATGAGGAACATTATAGGAGAGAGGCTGGGCTGCAACAGCAATTCGGATCAGTTTGAAACCCCTAAAGGCAGAACAGCCTGGCAACATACACCCCTGAAGCGATAAAAGGTACATATCTCCACCCAGGAAGGATGCTCACCCCTTGGAATAGATACAGAGATCCTTGGCCTATTGAAATCTCCAAGTAACCATAGTGCTCCTTGACTCACAGAGAACATGATCCAAGTTACCCCATGCATTCCTACACCCCAGAGAGTGTTATATGAACTCTATAACTGAATGACCTGTCCATCTTCACTGAGTACTTATCAGGTACCACCACCATAACTTTTGTTGTTCTGGGGTGAAAATTAACAGACAGACAGCATATAGAGAGCAGATACACTGGGCAGGGGTATTTGGTAGGTATTAGAACAAGGAATATTTGTGTCATGTATAAAAATGTCTAATAGAGATACACACTGAGATATATAATGAGATGCACAGGATCTAGTTTCAAATACTCCGGTGGGAAACAAGCACATAAACCAACAAACAATAAGTAGGGGGAAAAACGAATGCACTTGGCAAAATGGTGGAAATACTAATTGATGAAGATGACAAGAGGCTGACAAAACTGCACCATCTGATAGCTGTCCTGCCCAGACTGCTCACCAGTGGGAGCATCTTGGCTCACTGTGCCATTAGACTTCATGTAACAATCACTGGAAAAGTTGTGTATATTATAGCTCAAGGTCTGATCCCAGACTGAATAACTGAACATAGGTCCTGGGTACCTAATCTCAGTAGATACTCTTTGTGGAGCTACTGTCTACACTAACTATCAGTGGGCCCAAACCCACAGATACCATGACTGACTTCTCACCCACAGGAAGGGGAAGGCCCTACTTAGAGCCGATAGAAGCTAGGCGCTAGACCCTTGAGCCCTCAAAAGCAGACTCTGAAGTAAAGAGCCCTAGTCCTCCCCTGGAGGTCCCTCTCCACCTAGCTACATGATGCCCTTGGATAGCTCCAAAGGAGATCACAGAACACTTTGCTGAACAAGTCCCTGGAGAATCAAATAGAACATCTGAAAGCCCAGCCTTGGTCAGCTCCCTGCCCCATCAGAACTAGCCAGGGTTTTCTTTCTCCCCATCAGGGTCTCTCTGCCGTTCCCGCCTCTGACCTCTTTCTTGTTCATCTCTTATTCATCTAAAGTTCACGTAAAATTCATTCAGGGGACCACCGGCCACAGGCAGCCTGCTTCCCTAACCAGCTTCTACTCTCCCTGCCCAGGGAAGCATGTCCCAAGGCAGGTGTCCCAATCCTGTCATTCTGGGAAAACCCCAGGATCAGCAAGGCAAGAAACTCCTCTCATAGCAGAGTCTCAGAAAATCCTCCTCACCCTCCGAAGCCCCTAGGTGTGACCTCTGCTTCCTTTCCTCCCTCTTGCCAGCTTAGGACTTTCTAGAAACGCCCAGCCTGGGATGCCCCCAGAGTCTTCCTCAGAGCAGTCTTCATGAGGAATGTCTATTCAGGTATGCAGTGGATTAGAACCAACTCCAGCGGGGACTGATAGCTTGCCAGGCCTTGGCGTCCCTCCCTTGTGGCCTCCCTCCACTTACCCGTCCTCTGGTCCTGTTCTTGCGCTTGGGAATGTCCTCTTCCAAATCCTCCTCTTCATTCCCTTCTTCTACATTTTCGTCATTTTCCAAAACCCTCTGAAATGACAAGAAAATCAAATACAGGACTTGAGAGATGAAACGCAGGAGCAAGAAACATCAAAGGGTAGTTTGGGGGTGTTCTGGGGTTTTGTTCTTCAGCAAGGCGAAAGTGCTGCCGCTGCCCACATACAAGTTGGAAGTCTCAGTACAACCAATACTCTTTCAAGCTCTCAGGCCTCTTCCAACCAAATCCTGCCAGAACATTGCCCTTCCTCGACTCTTTTTACACCCCCCACTACCAGAAAAAGGGGTTTTTGGCGAGAGCATAAGAATGCTTTTCCATTGGGACCAAGGTGCCTTATTAAATCAGTTGTCTTTAATATGACATGTTCTTTTATTTCTAAAGAGCCACCTCAGCATTTAAAAAGCCATTTCTCCCTTCTCTGCCTCTGTGAAGCTCTGCCTTGCTTGACGAAAGCATGGAACTCCCTGTCCAACTGGCCAAAATACAGCCTTATTATGCTGTGGGGTTGTTTCTAAGAAAAATAAATTTTCATCAGGGTGTTACTGGGACATGCCTGTAATCCCAGCATAGAAGGAGCAGGAGTTCAAGACCATCCTTAGTTACACAGTAAACCTAAGGCCAGCCAAGGTTATGTGTGCAACTCTGTCTAGGGTGGGGATGGGGGAGATAACAGATTTTCATCACAGCCCATGACTTATAATCAAGCCATAAGTTCATAAATTCAAATGAGTTCCTTCTAATAGCCCTCAGATCATGGCAACACAGAGCCAGTTTTCATTTTAAATGTGCATAAACTGGGGCTGAAAACAGTTTCGACTATTCACAGTCATCCAGCAAAGCCATGAAAGCCGTGACCAGGGTAAGGTCGGGTTGGTGAGCTTAGCTTCCCACTCATGCCCTAGCCCTTGCTGCTGAGATTTCTCAGGTACAACAGACACTTCAGGCAGGATCCAAGCGCTTCATTGCCTCCACAGGAGGAAAGGGGAGAGGCAGGGGGTGCACCTCCAGGTCTAGAGTGGGCCAAAGGAGCATAGAGGACCCTGTTGCTGCCAGAAAGCAGGATATGAAGGAATGGTCTCGGAGTCCACAGAGTCCATGTCAGGGACCACGGGTGGGAGGAACTTTTCATGAGCTCACTTATGTGGCCTTGAGCGATACATTGTTTTGTGCCTCTTCTTATCCAACTAAAAACCAGCATGTGTCAATAAGCATGTGTCCAATGCTGACTACACGTAGGCTCTACTCTAAAAATAAAGGCTACAGTCCTGGCCTCAAGAAGACTTTACAGTGCACTAAAAGAAGATGGATTTAAACAACGTATGCAACTGGCTAAGCCCCATTGTTGTAGTGATTGTGAGAGAGAAGTTCGTGGTGTGTGAGAGGGTGCTCCTAGAGAACTTGGCCGGATCTGAACATCGAAGGAGGCTTTGCCGAGGCTGGGGCAGAGAGCAAGGAGGTGTGGAAGGAGATGAGCAGAGAATGAATGAGAGCAACCCGGACACACTTCCAGCTTGACAGAAAGGGCGGAGGAGGTTCTAGACCAGCAAGAGCTGGCGAAGCAGTTCTGGGAGCATGGCTTGTCCAGTGGGAGCGTGACCAGCGCTCAATGGTTTTGGGTAAGATGGCAAAGATGAAGCCGGAGGGTTAGCGTAAGCATATGGCACAGGGCTACAGCTTGTGGTGGTGGTTGGCGATGGTGGTGCAGAAGTTGCACCAACTATATATAAATGGGCTTAGAAAGTGGCGTGTGCTGCCCATGCAGTCTGATGTCACCATTATTGCTCAGATGAACTCTGGGATAGCGCCTCTGTAACTTGTCTCCAAAACAGAATGTCCAAGAGGCGGTTACCAGGACATCACACTCTAGTCACAGTTTCTAGGTTACTGCTGGCCACCTAGTCCTTCCAAAGGACATAAAACATGTCTCATGACTGCTTCTCAGCAGCTGATGGTGGTTTGAATGAGAATGGCCCTCATAGGTTTGAATGTCTGGTTCCTAGTTAGTTGAACTGTGTTTAGGGTTAGGGTTAGGGTTACCAATACGAGGCCTACTCCTTCTCTCTCTGCCTGTGCATTGGAATATAAGCTCTCATGCCTGCCTGCCCAATGACACACTGCTTGCCAAGATGATCATGGACTCACCCTCTGAAATTGTAAGCAAGGTCCCAATTAAATGCTTTCTTCTACAAGTAGCCTTGGTCATGATGTTTCATCACAGAAATAGTAACCCTAACTGAGTCACAGCACTTACAGATAGCTCAGCCAACCTTCAACATCAAAGAGAAATGTTTGCTGGACAGGGCCGCTGGTCCGTAGCTAGATGTTGACCAGGGTCCAGAGTAAGCCTTTTGGCTTTCTGACCTTACAGTGGGATCACAGGTCAAGCCACTTGGGTAAAAATCATAGGATGAATACAAGGTGCCAATGTAACTACTGCTGTTGACTGAGTCTTACAAACTTCCCAGGTCTTGAAGTCATTTAATCACAGCAAGTTCCAACTGCTGATATCTAAAGGCCATTACCTCTAGCATCTCAGTACATTTCTGATGCCTCTGTCATATTTCATGAGAAGAAACATTTCACACAACATGGATTCTGGGCTAGAAGACAAAAAATAGATGAAGGCCACTGGTCAGGTCCCTAAGTGTCTTATGGTCTCTTGGTCCAGGACCAAACTGATTTCTCCAAGTTTCCATCCCACTTGACATCAGCTTGTAACTCCAGAAGCCTCTCTATCCAACTTACCCACCTTGTTCCATGGGAGGAATTGGGAGTTCCTAACAAACAAAGCCATGCTGGGACTAAAGAAGGTGAGCAGAGTCGGGATGTAGGAATGAAGGACAGGGAGGGACGTCCAACATAACTGACTCTTTAACCTCCTGTTACAGACTGACAGCCCCTGTCCATAGACATCCGAAAAACAGATACATTTGAAAACAACTTTCCATACTATTACTCTAAATAGCCTTTATTGTAATGGTGACAATGATTTGTGCTTGTTTTTAACAGTGAAGAGGGATAAAGAAAGGAAGGAGAGAGGAAGAAAGGATGGAAGGAAGTGGGGAGGAGGGGGAGAGAGGGAGAGATGGAGAGAGGAAGCATCTCCTAACTGGTCAGTTTGACCACTGTCCCCAGCACCATCTCTCCTCCATGCAGGCCAGGAAGGGGAGGAATCTTTAAGAAATCTAAACTCATTGCCCTGGTCAAAACGCTCCAAATGGCTTCCTTTTCATTCCGGATGAAGCCATAAGAGCCACAACTAGGTCTCCTGAGGCCTGAGGGATCTGGCTTCTGCCCACCTAGCCTGCCTCCCCACCCCCACCACTGTAGTCTGACCACAGGGTCTTCTGTCTGTTCACTGGACAAGATGGGCGCTGACCTGTGTCAGAGCTGTCACTCCAGAGATCTTACATAGCTGGCCCAGCATCCCACAGGACTGTGGTGACACCCACATCCCTTAGCATACTGCCTACGTTCTGCCCTCTAATGCTTCTTCCTACTACTGGCCTTCATTTACCCAAAACACTAATTCTCTTGTTTGTTCACTTTTTTTTCTAACTGCATGACACAATCAAATTCGAGTAACCGCAGCACCCCACTCCCTGTTCAAAAGAAGTTCTTCTATCAGTCAAATGCATATATGAGTCAGTGATGAACAAAAAAGTCAATTTATCATATGTGTAGTTTTGCAATGCAAAGTCAAAGAGAACTTAAACTCAAGTGGTTCATGGCTACTTTCAGCTTCATACAACCTGGACCGCAAAGTCCCATGCTGTGCACTGGTGGCCACACTGACGGCACCAGGCCTGATGCAATGACGGCAATACAGTGACAACATGCATCCTGGCGCAGAGCCACGTGAAATCAGCTCAGACTTGTTCCCAGCTTTACAGGAGAGGGGCCATATGTCACCAGGTATCCAGGCTTCTGGGTACTGGTTCTGAATAAATCACTGATTCCATCCAAGTCCATTAATGGAGCAAAAATACTAACAACAGGGCAGCGGGGTCATACAGAGATGATACACCTTTCTTCAAACTCTTCAACTCCAAACACAGGGACTAACGCATGACTAGCTACACACACACACACACACACACACACACACACACACACACACACACACAGAAGAACGTGGGAAGTGTCCCAAACTCCTAAGATAAAAAGAGTCTGCTCTGGTTATGAGGGACCAGGAAAGGGTTGATGTGAAAGGTGGTGCTGGGTCTGGCCCTAACCACTGACTGGAATCGGTGTAGGTGGAAGAAAACGCAGTAGACCAGAAGCTCAGAGGGAGAAGGCTGAGGAAGAGGAGACACTGAGTCTGAATGCTAGCCTAAAGCAGAAAGGAGAAGCCCAAGAAGCCCATGGCTACCACGCTGGACTTACTTAGTGGAAACAAAAGATAAATTAGGAAGGAGGTGGCATGTGGGACAGAGGGAGGATCAGAATCTTGGCCCCCCAGTCATCCTCTCAAGCAAGCATTTACTGTGCGCCTATGTATCGAGCTGAGTGTGTGTGTTTAAGGTGTATTAGGGAGGAAGTTAGTCAAAGGCTTCCCACCTTGTGTGGGTTTACATTACACCAGGAGAATAAATATCACAAAAAACAAAATTCAGAGAATACTAAATGGTGATAAGCACAATATGAAAAGAAAAAAAGAAAAGCAGAATACAGGAACAAGATGGTGCAGGGTATGGCATTAATCACAGCAGTCAAGGCATCCAAAGGTGAGATGAGAGTCCGCCCCATGTCTAGGGAAGGACTTCCCACACAGACAAACCACCAGGGCATGTCCCATCCGAGAGAGGTAAGAGGCCCTTGTTTTTACTCAGGTGTGAGCAGCCACAGAAGGGGTTCCCTCCCCTCTGGTCGTCCATCCTCTCAGAGGACTAGTGTTCAACCCTAAAAGGAAATGAGCTATGACATCATGAAGAGCCATGGAGAAAGAGTCCGTGTGTGTTTGGTGACAGAAGCCAATCTGCAAAGGCTACCTGCACAGCTAGACTATGGGGTGGGAAAGACAGTTGTGTCTGGGGACTGGGAGTGGAGGGATGAGTAGCAGGGCACCGTTGGGTTAGGGCTGTGAAATTTACATGTATCACACCATGCATGATGGAGTCATAGCATTATATGTTTGTCCGAGCACACAGCATGTCATGTGGTATGCCAAAAGTAAACATTAACATAAACTGTGGATTCTGGGGGAGAAAGCCCTGTTGAAGGCAGCTCACTGATGGAAACAAATGTGGATGATGTTGACAATGGGAGAGGTTAAGTTTGGGGAGATAGGGAAGATAAGAAATCCCTTTACTTTCCTCTCCGTTTTTAAAGAGATCTGTGTTTTTAAAACTTTCTGGGGCATGAGTGGAGAAACCATTGAGAAGGCGATCAGGAGTTCCGATCAGGAGCAAGGGCGGGGTGACCAAGGTATCAAGAGGGATATATGGTGTAGGGGGAAACTTAGGACTCCGCCATTAGCCACGTTGTACTCTAGAGATGCATATGGATATGGTAACGAAAGGGCAGAACAGTGCCACTAACCACACCCACTTTGGACATGACTAGAGACAGGGCAGTGAACTACGCCACTAGCCAGGCCCACTTTTGGGCGTGGCTAGAGGCATGTTCGGAGGGAGGAAGGAATAACAAGCAGCAGAGGCTCTCGCCCTCTTTTCGGCTTCCGGTTCGGTGGGGGCGGGGAACTACTTGACTCATCTGGGTTGCCCGTTTTCTCTTGTGAGTAATTTCTACAATAAACAGTTTCCTATACCCTCAACAAGTGTGCCATTTATCGTTGCAGCGTCAATATGGGACAATGGGACATGGGACATTGATTCCTCCTAATGACACTGTAGACAGCATTGCTGACGCATGGGATGCTGGGTGTGAAACAGACAGGAGCATCAAAGATGAGCCCAGGGTTGCTAAGTCCAAACTGGCAAGGATCTCCACGAGGGCTACAGCTTATGGAAATAGAAGGCAAATGTATCAGGTGGTGGCAACTAAGTAGAAAAGATTTGGCCATTTATCTTCCCACTGAAAGGGCGGAGGAAGACAGATTAGGACGCACCCAGCATCTTTATGGAAAGCCAACTCCATGTTCCCAGCATCTTTATGGAAAGCCAACTCCATGTTCCCAGCATCTTTATGGAAAGCCAACTCCATGTTGGCATGAACAAGCACTGAGCACATCACAGTGAACACACCACAGTCCCTGACACACATATATTTATAAAGCACCAAAATGCTATTTATTATTATTGTTATTACTATTGTTATTAATGAAGATTTTAATAAATTGGTGAACAAATCAAATTAAATGCCAAATTGAATACAAAATGAATGAATATGAGATGTATGCCAAAGATATAAAAATTTAATATACAACTTAATCAAGATATAATTTAATTATATTTCATTATTAATAATATTATATCAGGATTAATTGATGTTATTATAATGTTCTGCACCCAACAGAGTATTAGATTACAGGGATTGGAGATATACTGAGGATAAGAAGCAGTAGGTGCCCACTGTCATAGTGGTATTTTAGAGCTTTACAGGTGTTGTGCACAGAGGGTAGTGGGCGCAACTGTCCCTGTCTAAGGGGGTGACCAGGCTGCCTTGGAGGATTGGTAGGTGGTGTTGGGAGGGGCTGAGAGATCTAGTGAGTTGGAGCTCAGACTGGGGTGTAATGAAATGGACAGAGGTGAAGCAGGGGCCCCAACTCTTAAGTCTAAATGATGGACTGTTCATTCCACAAAGGCAAGGACTCAGTCTACCCTGGTCCCATTATGTCTTCGGGACTCAGCCCAATACCTGAAGCTCAGACTGCTCAGGGGATACCTTTAGAGTACAGATACAGGGAGACCAGGGAACAGATTGGAGGGAACAGTTTTTTTCCCCTGGGGTGGAGGGATGCTTTCTATTCAAAAGAAGTTCTAAACTTCCTGGAAATGGTATCACAAGGACCTCGAAACACAGAGGCAGCCCTGCCCCTAAGAGGCAGGGAGGTGCCAGTGGTGATGCTTAGGGGCTCTGCGGCAGGTGCAGGGTACCTGTATTTCCTGGATGCTTTCCTCCTCTCTGGCATCCACCTTCTTCTCCACTCCCTCACCACGAAGCAGGGCTTCCAATGTGGTACTCTCAGAGGTGAAGCCGTCTTTCTTCAGGGGTAACTCTACTTCTGTAAAGCCAACATGGACAAGCAGGTCAGTCACCAGAAGTGGATGAGACAAGAATGGTCTTTGGGAACATGCAGAGTTCTTAGGTAGCTCTCAAACAACTTATGTCGTTGCCTCTTGACGAACAGGACCATGGAACACTGGGGTTAGGTACGGCATTTCCACCACTGCTCACTCAGTCCCAGAGAAGAGCTCAACCCTACCCACTCCCTGGGGCAAACTGAGGCAGAACAGAGAGGATGCCCTCTAGAGGTAGGATCAAACTGCCTGAGTCTCAGCCCTGCTTCTGCCATTCTGGGGATATGACTTAGTAGATGCTCAAGGAGCCTGGAGCCCATTTTTCCATCTACAAAGAGAAATGCCCAGGACCGCGGGGTTTTTGACAATGTTCAAGCACAACAGCAATGTCTGGTTCCTACTGTCTTCAAGGTCTCCCTTGGTCATGCTGGCTGCCCAGCTCTGCTTTGTTCCACAGAAAGCTCTCAGCCTCAGAGAGGCTGTTTGCATCAACTCAGCCTCAGAGAGGCTGTTCACAGAGACCCCAAAGCAATGGGAAAGGAAAGGCAGTAATGTCCAACATGCCAGAGCAACAGAGTAGGAGGCCATGCCGAGAAAACTGTAGGAAGCGTTCCAGTGCTCCCAAACCTGGAGAAATCAGTAAAGTAGAACTGTAGGGCATATTTCTACAGACATTAGTAGTTATCTTGCTGGGCCTATGAATCAGTGGGTGCTATAGTTCAGACACAGACACTCCTCAACGGTCATGTGTTAAAAGTCCCGGGTTGTCACTATTGAGAGATGGAGGAACCTTTAGGAGATGGGTACTAGTGGAAAATGTCCTTAGTCCATTAGGGTTATATCCATGAAAGGGACTGTCCAACCCGATCTCTTTCTCTCTTCTCTCTTTCCTATCATGAGGCAAGCAGTTGTTCCAGGTACACACTCTCCACCACTGATATCTGGGGAAGTCCCAAAACTGGGTCTGCCTGGCTAGGGAATAGAGTCTTGAAAACTGTAAGCCAAAATAAACCATTCTCCTTGCAAGTTAATACATCAGGTGTTCTCTTACAGCCATAGGAGGCTAATATACTGGGCCAGCAAAGCAAAGATACTGCTATAGGCAGGCTGCCCCTGAGAGAGACCAAAGTGAACTTCTAACTCTACCCTGAGATGCTCCCCAAACCTGAGATGCTTCCCAAACCCAAAGAGCTCTCCAAACTCTTGACAGAGAATTTTAACTTTTTCTAAGGACAGAAAACTAAGATATTAAGTGATATTTTGGTTTACTATATATAGTAAACTATAGTTTTCCTTCAATCTCTCCTTGATCCCAGACCTCACCTACACACACACACACACACACACACACACACACACACACACACACACTGGGGTGGGGGGGATAAGATGTGTGGCCCTCAGCAGCTAATCAATCTTTCATTCATGTGGGAGAATCAAACATTTAAAGTAGGACTCGTTGACAGAAATGTGGACAGACAAAGTGAGTCAATGAGGAATAGTGACAGTGACAGAGCCAGGGAGCCATCCTTCCGCTGCTCTAGAGAGACGGGGCAGGGGGAGGGGTCCTTGCCGAAGTCCTACATAGCAACTGGGGCTTGATGCATAGGAACTGAAAGCCTGGGAAACCCAGGAACCAATGCTTGGCGCTGTCTTCTTCCTCTCATCTTCCATCTCCTCTCACATTGGCCAGCTTCAAGCCAAAGCCAGCAGACAATGGGCTCTGCCCATGTGGCCCACCTAAGTCAGCTTTTTCTGAGGCACAGAGCAGAATACGGACAAAGGGGATCCAGGAGGGCAAATGGAAACAGATGGCACCATCACAGCCTGCTCCTCCAGGCTCTCTCCAGACGCTATTGGAATGCCACCTGCTGCTTCCGTCTCCTCCACCAAAACACACAGGCTGACAGAAGGCCACGGCCACATCCTTAAAAGGGAAGAAATATGCCTGGGAGTGGCCAGCTCCCAGGAAAAGGTATCTGAGGTCTCTTTTGAGAACTTTTTTGCAGAGAGAGATGGGGGAAGGGGCAGTATACCCATCAAGAACCACGACCTGGACTGGCAAGGAGGTTCCATGGGTAAAGGACTTGAGTTCAGCCTACATGGTGGAAGGAGAAAACTGACTTTCACAGGTTGTTCTCTGACATCCACACATATGCCATGTCTCACACATACCCATTCACTACATACACACACACAAATACATACATGTAATTTTTAAAAAACACAACCACTGGATCAACCATCAATGAAGCTTTACCATCATCTGATTGACCAATTAATATCTATTGAGCACCTGTCATGTGACAACCACTGTGCTGGAACTAGAGACACAGGAGGTGACGAAATAATAGCAGAGCCCTGCCTTTGGATGACTTAAAGATACAGCTATAACATGTTACATGTAAAATAAAGACACAGTTGTGAACTGTCTCATGTGCTACCAAGGAAAACGGTGAGGGCAGCTACTTCAGAGTTGGGGAAGGCATGTATGATGACGGTACAGTTAAGTTGAGTGTCAGAATCAACAGTATGCCTCCATGAGCCCTCTGTGATGTCATTACTCTCTCTAGTCTGAAAAGTCTTCCAAAATGTCTAATCCCACGTGTGTTGTCTCGTGCACTGTCCTCAGTCAAGCAAGCAGCTGGTCACCAGCCCTCAAGCAAAATAATCTTATGTGTATATGTGAATTTATCATTCCGCCTTCCTGACAATAAATGTGTCTAATTTCCAGAATGGCACCGTGTTTTAGGGCAGGAAGATCCAGCCATCTTATCCAATTCCATCTCCTTTTATAAGGGAGTCACTCTAGCTCAGAGAAGGTAAGCAACTTCACCAAGGGCAGGTGACAAAGCCAGCAAATACCTCTCAAAGCATGATAAAGATCATGACAAGAACCCCGATTCATTATAGCCTAATCAGTAAATAACTAGCCCAGGAAATGCCAGGACAGTGCTTTGGTGGCCTGGGGTACATGCAGAGGACTTAGTGAAGCAGAAACACCCAACATGCAGAAGTTCTGGCTGCCAGACGCCACCTAATCCCCATCACAGCGAAGAGAAAGGTGCATCCCATTTTACAGATGAGTCAGCTCAGCGTAGAGCCTGCTTACTGTCTATGACAGGACTGGAGAGGGGCAACGTCCAGTCTTTAGCTCCATACACTCCCAGCCTAACCATGCTAAAGGGCTCTTCCACCAGCCTCTTCTCTCTTCCCAGGGAGAGGAAAGGTTTCTTTCCAAAGCGTCGTGTATTCCTGCTGCATTCCTAGACCTCCCTGTGGATTTCAGATTTCAGGATGAGAGGCACATCTCTGCTGAGGCTGCAGGCAGTTTGCAGCATGGTGCTGAGCTCTTCCAGAAAATCTCAAGAGCTCTCTACCCTCCTGGGCACCAAACCCTCCCCCAACCCATGCAGAATTTCCCATGGACTGTGAACTTCCTCCTTCTGCAGCTCCTTCTTCCTCGCCTGCAAACCATGCCCCCGTCTCGTCTTGAATCACTCACTCTACACTTGGCTCTCCCTCACAAGAAGTGAATCTAGGAGGAATGCAGTGGGCTCCTGACAGGCAAAGGGCTCCAGGGGATAGCCAGTAACACCTGGGGTCCAGTCCCTTCAGGAGGAACGCAAAGCACAGAGAGGCAGAGGGGCTCTACATCACATTGACTGGGTGGTATTGCTCTCCCCTAACTGCCAAAATATTTTATTGGCTCATATAGTTTTGCTTCCAAACAGATCTGAAGCCAAACCCTGGTTAGTCTTTCCTGGAGCAGTTTCTTAACCCAAATCTCTGTTGATGGGCTACACAGGGCGATACAGGCAATGTGCCTCGTAGTGTTGGTATAAGACTCAAACAAGGTAGGGGCTGGAGAGATGGCTCAGTGGTTAAGAGCACTTTCTGCTCCTGCAGAATCCCAGCACCCACATAGAGGCTCACAACTGTGTGTAATCCAGCTCCTAGTGATTTGACACCCTCACGCAGACATACATGCAGGTAAAACAAAATGCACATACAATAAATAAAGCATTTGAAAACAAGAAGGGCTGGAGAGATGGCTCAGAGATTAAGAGCACTGGTTACTCTTCCAGAGGTGCTGAGTTCAATTCCCAACAACCACATGGTGGCTCACAACCATCTGTAATAAGATCCGGTGCCCTCTTATGGCATGCAGACATTCATGCAGATAGAACATTGTATATATAACAAATAAAAACTTTTTTTAAAAGAATGTAGAAAAATAATCAAACAAGGTAGTATGTATAAAGAAACTCCAAAAAGATCCACCCCAAAATTTAGTGTGAAATATCGTGGCAAATGAGACATGTTGATTCTTTTATGTTTTATTCTATTTAAAACTTGAGTTCAAAATTGGGTGATACATGCAAAGAACCTGGGCCAGTTTAAGTGCCCCACAAACACTCTAAGTTATTATCACCAAAATTTTAATAACTAATGTTAATGGTCCAATAGAAATCCAGTAAACGCTACTTGTATCATCCTAAATTTTCTATTGCCATGTTTTAAAAAGCCAAGAAGCAGGTGCAATTGAGTTTCATATTTTCTCTATCCAAAATACTACCATTCCAATATGAAATTAACATTTGAAAACTGACGTGATGTTTCACACTCTTTTAGACCTCACTGGTATATATATATCCCCTTATAACACATCAAAATTCAAATGAGGGCTCCAAAGCCACATGAGGCTAGTGGCTACCCCACTGGACAGAGCAGCTCTGCGGCATTAAAAGAAATGCTTAGGGACATTTTTGCTTTCACTAAGTGGACAGAATTTAAACATGGTTTTAATGTTGCCTGCTTAATGCCCAGTGGAGTACAATTCCAAGAGCAGCACTCAGACTGACCTCTGGAAAACCCTGTTTGCAAAGCATTGTGGGTAAATCTTGCCTAGTCAGAATGAAAGGCTAACCCCACCCCAACCCCCAGACAACCCAGAAGAAGATACAGTCTCTGCCTCCTAACC